GTGGCTGCCTCTGAGTCGCAAGTGATGGACAAGTTGCATGCATTCTTTGTAGCTCTGGAATATTTGAACATTTGCGAGTTCTCGTACAAGGCCGGTCCCTTGCAGTACCTCTCGGATCTTGAAGAATGGCGGCATGAGAATCGGGGCTTGGCCCTGTTGCTCGCTGCCGATTCGTTGATCCGGAAGAAGGTCTACCGCTTGAACTCCGATCGGAAGCAAACCTACGGGACCTTTTCGGCAGCCTTGTTGGAAGTCCTCACCAACCACAAGCAGCTGTGGAATGACGCTCGCTCTAGTGCCGAGCTTGATAAGTTCAAGCAGGCGAGCCACAGCGCTCCTCTTACTCCTCCCAAATCTTCGGGCAAGAAGCGATCGCGGTCCCGCTCGGGCATGCCTCCGAGACCTTCAGCCAAGGCTCGCAAGAACAAGTTGAGGCGCGCTCGGCAAAAAGAGCAGCTCAAGCAGCTCAAGCCCAGCTCGCATGAGGCCAAGCGAGGCACTGAGAGCAAGGGCAAACCAACTCGGGACGCTCGCATCCCCTCCGAGGAGTGGACCAAAGTCAACTCGTTCAAGTACAATGGCCCTCGCCGCTGTCCTTTCTACAATTGCTCCAGTGGATGTCGTTTCGGTGATCAATGCAAACACAAGCATTTGTGTGTCGAGTGTGGCAAGAGCCACCCTTGGCACGGCAACCACTGAGTCGTTCTGCTGGATCCCCAGGAGGTTCGTGTCCGGCCTCCTGGGTGTTGGAAGGACACGCCTGGGCCGCCGCTCAATGAAGGGCCACCACTGGCCACGCCGGACGTGGCTCTGACCCCGGCGGCAACCAATGCGCCACCGTGGCGCTCATGGAGACAAGTTCCTTTGGATGTCGAGGTCGTGAAGTTACACGGCCCCTTCTTTCTGGAAATCTTCTCCGGCACCGCTCGGCTGACTGATCATGTTGCAGCAATGGGAGTGCCAGTGTTGCCACCCGTGGATATCGAACGATCTCCACTGGTGCCAGAGCCAGCAGATGTTTTGGACCTGGGGCTCTGGGATCGCATCATGCAGCTCGCTCATGCTGGAGCCATCGTGTTCGTGCACCTGGGTACTCCGTGCAACACTTTTTCGTCAGCTCGGAAGCTGGATGGTGGGCCCCCACCGCTACGCTCTGCTCAGTTTCCTCTCGGAGTTCCTGACCTGTCTCCAGCCAATCAAGACCTGGTTACCTTGGGCAATTTGTTTCTGGCTCGCTCTGTCGAAGTGGCGCTCGCAGTTTTTGACGCTGGTGGCAACTTCTCGATCGAGAACCCGTTGTGGAGCCTCCTTTGGCAAACCCCGGCTATGCTCGAGCTCTCGCGGTCAGCCCGCACGCTGGACATGGACTTTGATCAGTGCGCCTTTGGGGCGCCGTCCGTGAAGCCTACGCGGCTCCGCGTCTCTTCAGAGCTTTTGGCTGGGGTTCGCCAGCATTGCACCGGAGACCACACTCATATCCAGCTCCGGGGCAAAGTTTGGGATGCCCGTCGCAACAAGGTTGTCTATCGTACGAAGCTGGCTCAAGAATACCCTCATTTGCTCTGTGCCGCTATGGCAGTCGGCATCCACGAGCTCTGGCTGTCGGAGTTGACGCAGTTCGCTGAATCCTTTGTCCTGGTGACCTCTCCGTCCGATCGCAAACGGGCGTTAGGCACTCCTGCGCGATGGAAGCTCCACCGACAGGCCGGTACTGCTCAGAAGGCTCTGGCCTCGGGCTATCAGCTCAAACGGGGTGCTGTCAAGCCCCTGCTCGAAGTGGAGATGGAGCCTGGTCAGGCCATTCGGTGGGCTTTGGAAGTTGATCACCCGTTCACACTTCCTGTTACTCTGGATCCAGAGTTGGCGGCGGCAATCGCTGCGGTCACTACAACGCCAGATCAGGTTCTGCAAACCCGAGTGACAGCGCTCGCTTTCTGGGAAAAGGAGGCCATGCGCTTGCTGCCTGAGTCGATCGCCAGAAAGGACTGTTCAATCTCCGGTGTCATCACGACTTGCGAGGAGTATTGTCTGTCTTTGATGCTATGGAGGCCCGACCGGCCGAGCTTGCCGAAGCATCCCGTCGTCAAGAAGCCCAGGCAGCCAAAGAGCTTGGCCGCCAGTCCCGGAGGAAGGCGACGCGTCTGAGTGGCCTCCTCCATGATGTCGGTGACCTTGGTGAGCAATTGCTGAAGGCAGCTCAATCGGTGGATCAACAACTTCCTCATCACCTGCTGCATGGTTTTCCCATTGTCGGCTGCATCCCTCGCTCGAACCGCTGGCCGGATTATGACAAGCCTCAAAAGGTGGTGCCGGTGGAAGATGCATTGTGTCGGGCCTGGGTTCTGCGGCAGAAGATTGTTCAACGGGTACGTTCAGTGCCAGTCACAGACAACTTGAAAAATATCTGGGAAGCCACTGCAGAAGACCGTGCAGAAGGTTCATGTGTGGGACCGTGGTTCGAAGAGAAGGAGATCTCCGACTTTTTGGGCTGTGATGATTGGATTCCCACACAAAGGTTTGAGGTCGTTCAGAAAAACAAAGTTCGTGGTTGCGACAGTGCCACGACGAATATGATCAACCAAGTGACAGAGATCTCTGAGAAGCTCCAGCTGCCATCAACTGACTTCAATGTGGCGGCCCTTAGGATGTTTCGCTCGAAGATGCCTCATGGAAATCTGGCTGGCTGGGTGCTCGACGAGAGGAAGGCCTACCGCCAGATAGCTGTGCGGCCTGATCAAAGAAAGTTTTCTGTCATTTGTTTGAAAGACCCTCAGACCGATCGGCCAGCTTTCTTCATAATGATCGGACATTCTTTTGGGCTAGTTTCGGCTGTTTATAATTATAATAGACGGTCGGCGGCCATAAATGAATGTTTGATCAAATTGTTTGGCCTGGTAGCGTTCAGCTTTTATGACGACAAATACGGGTTCGAACCGGCACAAACGATCGTGTCGGCTCGGCTGACCGCTGAGTGTGTTCACACGTGGCTCGGAGCAAAGTTTGATCGCAAGAAGCTCCAGCTCTCGGACTCACCGACCATCTTGGGAGTCACCTACAACCTAGAGAAGATGCAGCTGGAGATCAAAGAAGATCGCAAAGCGGATCTGATCAGTGAGATTTCCTCCATCCTTGAGTCTGGCCTCCTGGATCCAGGGACGGCCGGTAAACTTAAGGGTAAACTAATGTTTGGAGCATCGCAGCTTTGGGGTAAGGTCGGTCGAGCCTATTTAAGGGTGATCTCGGAAAGACAATACATGAGGTTCCCTGTAGGTCCCCGGTTCGATCTTGATCCCCCACTTCGTGCTGCTCTCCTCCAATGGGTTAATCTCGTTGATCATGGCCCCCCTAGGACGATCGATCGCCTCGCTCGTAAGAAAGCTGACGTGGTGATTTTTACTGATGGGTTCACTCCGGACCCGCGGACTCCTCGCTCGGATAGGTTGCCCGATCGGGTTGGTGCTGTGATGTTCGATCGACGCATGGCGCAACCTCGCCAGTTTACAGCGTTGATCCCAACCAGGGTGAGCCGCAAATGGATCCCCCGAACGACACAGATCATACCGATCGAAATGATGGCGCCCGTCCTTGCATTGTCTACTTTTGGCGATCGCCTAGAGGGCGCTGATTTAATTTTGTTGATCGACTCCGAGGCTGTAGAGGCAGCCCTAGTCAAGGGATACTCTAGCCGTGAAGACGTCTGCTCGATCATTTCCGTGTTTTGGAACTTGGCGCTCAACCTCAAGTGCCGAGCTTTCATCGATCGAGTGTCAACAGACGCGAACCCAGCAGACTGGCCTTCCAGAAATGATCTGTCAAGAGGTCGGGAGGCTGGGTTCACTGTTGATCCGATTTGGCCTGAGTGTTTCATTGACGATCGTTCAGGGCCTGGGGAGCTATAGAACTGAGCTCTTGCCTTATGGTAGCTCTCCCTGCAGTGATTATTTTGTGTTGGATCTCTCAATTCTTGTGCTCTGGTTACCTCTTTTGATGATGTGTCCAATTTCAACAACTGGGTGACCAAGAGGTCCCTAAGATGATCAGGGATGCGTGAGGCGAGATGCTCATTTGTTTTTCTGAAAGAAAACACTTTCTCGCTCAACCCCACGCCCAGAGCGAAGAAATATGAGTGATGGCGGATCTGTAGAGAAGCTGAAAGGGTGAACATGTTCACACGTCGTTGCACTTTTGAGTAGTGCCGGTATCTTCGGTTAGGTTGGTTTGGGATACAGGTGGTACTCTTAGGTGCTGTTCAGCTTTTCTTTACTTTCAAGTTGAGTCTCGTGATCACGAATGCACAACGCTGCCATTTTGGCGAGAACTGGAGTGATCACCAGAGCCTCAAGATTTTTCCCCATCCTGCCCTCCCTGTGGTTTCGACTGCAGGGAGAGGTGGGGGGGGAGCTATAGAACTGAGCTCTTGCCTTATGGTAGCTCTCCCTGCAGTGATTATTTTGTGTTGGATCTCTCAATTCTTGTGCTCTGGTTACCTCTTTTGATGATGTGTCCAATTTCAACAACTGGGTGACCAAGAGGTCCCTAAGATGATCAGGGATGCGGGAGGCGAGATGCTCATTTGTTTTTCTGAAAGAAAACACTTTCTCGCTCAACCCCACGCCCAGAGCGAAGAAATATGAGTGATGGCGGATCTGTAGAGAAGCTGAAAGGGTGAACATGTTCACACGTCGTTGCACTTTTGAGTAGTGTAATGGTTCTTTTGTTTGACGAGGGTTAGTATCGTTGTATCTAGTTGTATCCTTAGATAAAGATATATTTAGTTTACAGTTAAGTCCTGGGATCGCCCCTGCACGCATTCAGATGCTTGCTATTCTCCTTCACTTGCAATCTCCGGCACAGTTTTTCAGCCCAATCCATGCAGAATTCAGCACTCAAGCAGCCTCAAGCAGCCTCACGGGTCTGTGAAGCTAGTATCCAACTCTGGGTCTGATGGTGTGGTGGAACTATTGGCGCACTCTAGCATAGCTAGCATCTCATAGCACAGCCGAACATTCTTGTGACCGCTAGCATCTCATCGGTATGGACCGCCTGCACTTGGCACTGCGTGCCCCGGCCAGGTGCGGGTCAGCCGAGGTCGGCCGTGTTTGTTCTGGAAGCGCATCATGTGCGGTCACCCACCGCTAAAGTAGGAACTAGATAGAATCAGGATTCTTGCTTGTGGAAGCTGTATATGAACATCATAGAGCATTGAACAGTAAAATATGATAAAATATGTACATCCGTAAGAGGCCGCGGGGAAACCAAACGGCTTGAGCAAAGTGCAAACAAGGCGGTACATCCGTTATATCCCTTGATGTGATCACATACGCCCAGGTACACAGAAGCCATGTCGTCCTTGACCCAAAGCTCAAAGTGGCAGCAGGCGATTTGGGTCGATGGTCCTGTAAAACGCAGGGATTCTTGAGGGTCAATCAGCATTGAACACACTCTTTTCTAAAGGCGTGAGTGGTCTTCATGTGAATTCTCCTCAGTATGTTGCAGGCCACCGCCCAGTTGGTATGGCCATAGCATGCCATGGCCCACAGTGTAGGTCCTGCATCTACCAAGCATGCTGTTCACATGGATGAAAGACAATGTGTCTCCAAGAGTTCATGGGACCGAAGCCAGAGGTGTATCTTCATCATGGCTTCACTGGCAACCAGTCTTTCATATAATATATGTATGTGCTCGGTATGCCACAAAACAAACACAACTAGCTGGCGATAGTAAGTTCAACCCACCCTGGATCGCCAGAATCGCTGCAAGCCTCGCCCCATCCTCCGAGGCGTTGGCAGTGTTTCAACTCTCCGAAGAGCGCTTCGGGCGGCGCCTGGGTCAACGGGTGCAGCAGACGCAAAGTCGAAAGAAACTGACTCAGTGGACTATTTTGGTATCATCATCAGTCTGTATCATCTTTCATCATCAGATGGGTAAAATTACTGATGAGTTGGCAGTCTATGCTCCCACTGCCAGAATGTCCATTGGACTCACGCTGGTCTTCTTATGTCTTCTTTGTTTGAGATGGAAACGAGAAGAGACGCGTGAGAGAGCCGAAGCGTTCCTGGAATGACCGCTCCTTTTGAAGACCAGTTCAGATACAGAGACTGTCCTTTGAGGGTTTGGAGTGCCCTTCCGGCACCCACATACTGGTCAGCGGCAACACGACATGACCGCCTCCTCGCGCCGCAAGAGGCACCTGCACAGCACCACCGCGGCTTTGGGTGTGCTGCGGAAAGCGCCTCGCCATCGGTGGCCCTGGGCAGCGCAGCTGCTGCAGCGCTTGCACGACGGGCGGATTCCGCTGGAGCGAGTCGTGGGAAAGTCGCGGTGAGTGGGCGAGGTGTTGCCGGGTCGTATTTATTGGCTGAGGAGATGGCTGGAAAGCGCAAATTGAGTGGACCATGCGATTTGCTTGTGACATCATTCCAATCATCTCCTAATCATGCAACAATTGGAGTAAGTGAGGGAGTGTCTTTTCGTATATTCACTGCATATCATATCGACCCAACTGGCGTTTGCTGTTTTACCAAAGCCTAACGGGTCAAGCACCCTCTGGGATGCTCAACAGGACGTGGTTTGCTTCAGCAGCTTGGCCTCGAGCTGTGAAGAAAGCACCCTGTGGCGAAAGACCTTGCAGATCTTGGAGGAAACCACTGGAGAAGAGGGCTGGGGAGAGCTTGATGGGGTCGGAGCTTGCGGTGGGATGGATGTGTAACAGAGGAAACCGCAGCGGGGAGTGGAGGGGATGACCCTTGTTAGGAAAGGAAGATTCAGTGTGCTTGGGCAGACGCTGGGTCGGACCTGTTTGACTGGTCTCCATGGAGGTTCATCTCACTAACTCCCTGACATGCTATGCTATAATTACCTCAGCGGGGTAGGCAATGGTTTATAATCAAAGGAAGTTTAGTGTGCAAAAATTCCGTGTTACGGACATTCAACAGCTGTTCAACCACCACTCATCATACACCACTCATCATACACCACTCATCATACACCACTCATCGTACACCACTCATCAAACCACCACTCATCAAACCACCACTCATCAAACCACCACTCATCATACACCACTCATCA